CCTGCCTCACACAGATTCCAATATTCTGGAAATTTCATACAAAAGAGATACCACAATTTATGGCCTTCTGTGTCTGGTTTCTTTTATGCAACATGTTGCCTTTTAGCTCACCCATGTTGAGCGTACATCAGAACTTCACTCCTTCTTGTGGCCAAGTAATGTCCCACTGCCTGCCTTTGGCACGCTTTGTTTCTCCATTCATCTGCTGATGGATATTTGGGCTGTTTCCACTTTGTTAGTTTTCTGAATATTGCTGTTATTTGCATTAGTATTTTGTGTACAAGATTCAGTGTGGTTGTATTTTCAATTCTTTGGGTAACATTCCTAGTAGAGAAATTGCTGATTCATTGTAACTCTGTTAACCTTTTTGGGGGAACTGCCAGAAGTTCCAACAAGGTTATGTTTTGAGTTATGAAGTCTCATCACAACAGGGAGGAGACCCCAGAGCACTGGAGGTATGAAATATATCTGGTTGCTTCAGACTTGTATTGAAATGTTAAAGTAACCCCTCATATTGGGCAGGAGGCTCTACTAACCCTTGTCAAGTGGAAGAGTCCCAATAACTGGTTGATGACTTTGGTACCAGTCACCACTCCTGTGATTACTGAAACTTGAGATGCAGTGAGTTTGGACCCTTCCTCCCCAGGCTGTCGTCTACACCCACTCAAGCAATCCATCCCTTGTCCCTACCTGCTGGCTGGAACGCAGCTCCTAAAGGCCTGAGCACCTGGAATCAGGATTCCACCACGCTCCTGAGTTCATGGTTCATAAGTGTTTGGAAGCCTCTGTCACGGCGCTACACCCGTGGGCTGCACCCTCTCGCATGATCACACTCGCCTGAACCCTCCCATGTTCCTCCTCCCTCAGGTCCGCAGGACTCTGCCACCCTGGACCTCAGTGCATGTGCCCAAGGCCCAGCCTGCTGCTGTCATCACCCCTGCACGGTCCTGCTCGCTCGAGGCAGGACCTCAAGCCCTCCCGGGTTATCCGCTGGTGTGAGGACAGAAAATGTACTTACAGGGCTCTCTCCTTTAAGTCCTTCCCGTAGAGGTTGTGCTTGCTGGCGATGTAGTTGAGGATGGCTCTCGTCTGCACCAGATCCATCCCATCGATCTCCACCATTGGCACTTGCCCGAACATCAGCCGCCCGTCTTTGAAAGAAAGGAAACGCAAAGAAGAGGGAGAGGACTATGGGTCCTGCTCTTTCAAGATTAAATAATAATTGGTGAAATGAATGAAGATAAAATGTAAAACCAAAAATTAATGCCTGGTAACCTTTGATCTAAAATAGCATTTTGTTTTTACCTTCCTGTAGGACTAGTTCTTACCCATCTTTCTATTCATCTTCAGCCTTTTTATTTACAATCTGGGTAAATGGTAGATCTCTCATAGTTTTTGTGTTTATATATCTTCATGGATATTTCAGAAAGAAGTTGGGAGAGGCAGCCACAGGGTGGCCAAATGTATGTCATTTAAAATGGGAAGTTCCCAACGTAAGTCTCCTGGTTTTCACAACATTTAAGGTAGTTTCTGAGAGAAGTTTCTAGGTACACGTCCCAGTCTTAGTTCTTTGAAGCCTATAATATTGCCAGGATATCACCTTGTCAGACTGGGAACAGTAAAGAACTCAGTTCAAGATGGGCCTGTATCTACTGCTATGGCCCAATGCATGTCCTTGCGTATCCTTGCGTGTCCTTGCCTGGGGGGTGCTGTGACGGACCCCGAGCTATCACAGCTCGATCACGGTGCAGAGAGCACGAGCAAGCAGGGTGAGGGCATTCTCAGGGCGCTAGGGACGGTTCCTTTAGCCAATACTGAGAGGTCTGGCCCTTTTCAACCATGAGAGAGTTGCCAACCCACTCGAGGAGACATACTCCTTCGATTTTAACCACGTTTCTCCCTCTACACCATCTCCAAGTTCAATCCCCAACACACACTCACAGGCATTGCCTGGTGTTAAGACTTTGTGGCATGCTTTCTACTAGTTACCCTCACAGCGGCATTTAGATACTTGTTCTTACCATTTTTTAACTTATCCCAATCTTCTGGACATGTTATAAATTGCTCTTCAAACTGGAAGCAAAACAGTAAACGGGTTCTCGTTAGTTCTTCCCACAGCGCTACAGACTGTTACACTCGAATGGCCCCTGCCCAGAACACAACCTGGAGCAGGGAAGATTCCTGAGACTTGCAGGGACACACATTAGTCTGGCCAGGAGCATCTGGAAATGCAGGTGAGAGCCATGGAGAAAGGGGTACAGGGGGGAGCACAGAGAGGCTCACTCTTCACAGCAGCCCCCCTCCCCTCCACCCGGACCCCACAGTGTTCGTGGTGTGGTCATGATTTGGGAGGGTGAGTCACTGGATGGAAGGGACTGGGAAGTTCTAGTTATGGTGCTGCCATATCTCAGAGAATCTTGTGACCCCAAGAGAGATCAGAACAGAACCCGGGTGTCCCTGGCCTGGGGTGTGCTGTGACCAAGATTCTGGCACCAAGGGGTGTTTGCTATAATTTAAGTCATTCTTTACCATTGCATAGTTTAAAAGAGGTTCTCAGTCATCTAAAGTTCAGGAAATTGGGGGTTCCTAACGTGCTCACTGCAGCAGGGATTGCCGTGGTCTGTGAGCGCACAGGGTCATGAGGTAGGTGCAGACACAGGACAGAGGCGTGTAAGTGAGGAGGGGTGTGAGCGCCAGCAATTAACAAAGTGTCCCGTTCCAGACAGACAGAGGGTGGCGGGGGGTCAGGGCAGGGGTTGGGAGGGGGCTGGCCGGTGTGACGTTGCTGGAGAGCCTGAGGGACTGGATGGTAACCGTCAGTCTCTGGGCACCGGGAACCCAGAGCGCTGAGTGGGGGCCTCAGTCAGCCCTCCCCCCAGTTCCTCAGTGCAGCAGGGGAGGAGAGGAGGGAGCCTGGGTGCTCACAGCCTCACCCCTGCACCTGCTGTGCTGCACTCGCCCTGCCCACGGCTCTGACACAGCCCGGAACTCACACACATTTACACTAAAAATTAACAATAATTCTTTAACACCAGAGATTCAGGTTTCCAATTGTGGTTTAAAATGTCATAAATTACAATTTTTTACTTTGTTTAAATCCAAACCCAAATAAGGTCCACACATACGGTTAATTGATGTTTCTTTTGGTTCTTTTGAAAATATCTTTTGACTGTCTATGTGCTCTTTGGTGGACAGATCTTTTTCCTTTTAATTTGGTCAAATTAGTCCATTTTTTTCTTAGTAACTGGGGATATTTTGACCGAAGGTAAAACTATGCACAGATCATCTTGTATGGAAGTGTCCTGACTTAGAAAAGGATTTTCATACAGTTCATTTTAGATATGTCTGAAGTCCCAACCTACCTCTACTCCAGCTGCAGCCAAGAGCCACCGGATGGACTCCATTCTGCCCCGGACATTGAAGTAGTGAAGCTTGGGCTTCCCCGCCATGATAGCAGTCTCTTGGTTTCTATAAGCATGAATAAATAAGTGAATGAGTGCTCACTTCATCAAAACATATGCTAAAATCGGAACGCTACAGAGAAGATTAGCATGGCTCCCGAGCAAGGATAACACGCAAATTCGTGAAGCATTCCATATTTTAAAATAAATAAGTGAATGAAGGTGTCCACAGAAGCAAATTGTGTGTTAGGGTATATGGTTGAATGGCACCAACAATATAGAAGGGGTATCTGCCTTTCTCATGGTAGAGTTGGAAGAGTCCAAGGAAGATTTTCCAAAGCCCAAACTGTCAACCATTAGTACCCAACATCGTGAAAATGCTGCAGACCAGTCTCACGTTGCCATTTGTCCTTAGTTTGAGAAGCTGAAGAGGGCAGCCTGGATCCCACACAGGGGAAGGCCCTGGGAGCCTGGGAGGGACCTTGGAACCAGAGGACATCACTGACAGGGTGGACCAAGAGGGAGCAGAGTCAGTCTTCAGCTCTTCGGCTGCTACACTGTGCTCGTTCACGAGCAGAACCAGGGCTTAGTCTTGTCCTGACTGTAGCCAAAACCTAAATTTACTCTACAGAGAAAGGTGTTCATTTCTTTTCTGTTGGATGTCTATATTTTTCCACTTCTGGGAGAGTTTTATTTTACAGTCTAGTAAATGGTATTTGCTGCATTAATTGTATATTATAAGGAAAGGATGTAATATTGGTTTAGTGTCTGACATAACATGCAATTTCTCATTTTTATCCACATTTATGTTTCATAAAAGTTACTTGATATATAGCCTGTTATTATTCTAAGTTTACAGTTCAGGTTATTAATATCTATAGAGATTATGTTACGTGGTAAACCTAGTGCCGTTTTTATCTGACACCAAACTCTTGGAGCTTCTCTTATATCGTGTGTAGAATTCTGTCTTCTGACGTTCACACTAGCTTCCGTTATGTCTTACTATGGAATTTTCACAGCCTGTAGAAGGTAGCATTTTCACTCTCCCCTCCCCATCCCTCCTCCCCACCCCCCTACCCACCCAGCTCTCAGAAAGTAGAGACGTTGCTATTATCTTTATGTAATGGACATCGGACAGCGCTCAAAGTTCAGTCCACACTTCATAGGCTCTGACACAGATAGGTAACTCAAGAGCACGCCTTCTCTTTTTCTGCTTTTAGCTTTTCCCTCATACAGCACACTATTTTGGAATACACTAGTATAGAGTGTTTAAAGGACATAGAAATAAAACAATCAGTCTTAATTATTAAATCCACCTCTCTCCTTTTTAAACAGAATTACTAAAGCAATAGCACTCTCCTACATAGTAGAATCATATTGATATTGACTATACAAAAAAAAAAAAAAAAAAGAGTGTTTTGCCAGAGTAGCCCAAGGAAATATTTAACTTGGCAAATGGAAGGAATTTACAAATGCTCTGTTGGACTGAAAACATGAAGCTCAAGAGAAGGACATTATTATGTTTGTCTAAGATGCAGGTCCACATCCACGTGTCATACTAACCTGAAAGTTATAAACTTTTAGATTCACTTGTCATGTTGAGACTAAACCCTGCTCTGCCTTTGGTTCCAGAAACCCTGAACAAGGAAGAGGAGGAGGAGGAATAGGAGAAGGGTTGACAAAGGAGAAGGAGACAAAGTGGAAATACACACAACTTGGTTTCCAATCACAAAGTAACTCACGAGCAATAAGCTAACGCATGTGAAACAGTTACGGACGTGCAAATTAGATGCTAATCGGCAGGCACTGGTGTTTGGTCTCCCACCTGGAGGGGTGGGTTAGAGGCAGCAGAGGCAGACAACCACCTGGGTACATTCCCCTTACATTGCTCAAGTGGGACCCCAAATGGGTGACGCTGCCAAATGTACATCCAGTGTAGCCGCGTGTTGGCTCCTGTATGAATCATACCGACGCCTCCAACCATGTGACAGATCATGTGGAAGCCCCGACACGCTGCTGACGCTGGCATGGCGGCATTTCCAGATTGCCCGTGCTGTTGTCACTCTCACTTTTCTCACACCATCCAAGTCACTGCCCTTGTCTCTAAGTTCCCGAGTCTTATTTTGTGTTAAAGCCATGGCCTTCAGGAACGACTAAACAAGCCTGAACTGGCTCCTGAGCACACTAAGAAGGCACAGTAAGAAGTAAAGTGCACACACAGAGTAACACGTTTAAACATGCCTCCTGGTGAAGCAGACATGAGACCATTTAGGAAGGTTCTTAAGGTCAGTACTAACCTGACAAAGTCCTGGCTGCGTCTTGCTCAGCTCCTGCAGCCAGCCTGGCTGTGCCAGCTGCTTAAATGCTGGGACACTCCTGCCTGCTGAGCTGGGCGGCCCACCCAACAGGTAACAGCCACCCCCACCCCATAGAAGGCTCCAGAGTTCCATGCTGACTAGAAAGCGAAGACAGTCAACATGTTTCATTGCAAGGCATTCGAAATGAGGCTGGCCAATGGCGCATGCCTGCAATCCTAGCACTCTGGAGGCCAAGGCAGGCGATCACTCAAGTCAGGAGTTCGAAACCAGCCTGAGCAAGGAGGAGACCCGCCTCTACTATAAATAGAAATAAATTAATTGCCAACTAATAATTATATAGAAAAATTTCAGCGGGATGGTGGCGCATGCCTGTAGTCCCCTACTCGGAGGCTGAGGCAAGAGGATTACTGGAGCCCAGGAGTTTGAGGTTGTTGTGAGCTTAGGCTGACGCCACGGCACATCACTCTAGCCTGGGCACAAAGCGAGACTCTGTCTCAAACAAATTAAAAAATAAGCACACAACATGGATTTCAAATCTATTCTGCTGCCTCAGGTCCCTGGGGCCAGGCTTCTTTGAACACTGCTTAACCACTTCCATACAGCGCTCACTGGCCACAAAGCCTTGCCCACAGCCGGCACTCACAGTCCGCACGACAGTCTGTGCTGTGCGTGACGACGCATCCGGTTTTGCTCTTGTGGATGGATAGAAAGCTTGGAAGCACTGAAAGCTTGTTTTACCTTCCAAGGCAGCTTTCCTGTGATGTCAAAAATAGGTAACATGAGGGACATATATGTTTATTACGTTATTTTTAAATGTTCACAATTTTATTGTGAGAAATGAAAAATTAGAAAAGTCATATCACGGCTGTCGGCTAAAGTAGCTGTGCACGTTCATCTGTGGCTGTCGACTATAGTCGACGCTGGTACTGAAGTGGTTAAGGAGGATCTCATTAAATAGGCTTCAGGTTTAGGGCAGATGAGAAAACTTGTGAGGGACAGTGGCATAAGAGGATGTTGTCAGGAAAGGGAACTTGAAAGAGAGGATGGGGAGATCGCACCTACGTTTGCAAAAGGGACTCAATGATGAACTCTGCTGCGAAACTCTACAGGGTGGAAGAATCCAGCAGAGTTGTCCTGGCCCTGGGTGGGAAAACCTCAGCTGCAGTACCTGGGGTCACTGGCGGATCCTTCTCTACAGGAACATGTTGGCCTTTCTCCCTAGCCCAAGGCCCTTGATGCACCATTTCTTCTGCCCAGAACATGCTCTTCTCCCCTCCTCCCAGGCATCCCGTCCTTGCTCTGTCCTGTCACTCTTCCCACGTTCTGTGTTCAGCGTCTGCATTTCCCCAGGTCACCGTGAGCTCCTGAGGGCAGGGCTGCCCTGTCCCCATGGCTGACCACAGCGCGCCGCCTATGGCAGGGGCTCAATGTGTACATGTGATTTCTCTATTTCTAATGGAAATTGTCTAACATACAAACGTAGAAAGAACAGTGCAATGAGCTTGATGTACCCATCACCTTGCCTCCACAATTGTCAACAATATTTGAAGCAAATCCCATACTTATTTTATTTCATCAATAAATAATGTGTATCTTTGAAACCTTTTTACTGTAATTAAAAGCAATTACAGAAAAACTGCAAAACTGGTATGGAGTTCCTAGATATCCTTCACCCAGTATAGTCTAATGTTAACAGCTTACATGCCCATACTACAAGGATCAAAACCAGGAATTTCACACTGAACTGCAGACCTTACCTGGATTTCACCAGCTTTTCAACCAATGTCCTCTTCTTTGTCCAAGACCCCATCCAGGGCCCTATGCTGTATCCCTACAACTGTAGGGACTGACAAGGCTAAACGGAGGATACTTGCTAAGACAGATTGTACCCTGGTTGGCATCTAAGGCACCAGCAAGACTGTGAGTCCTTCCTGTCACCTTGTACACTAAGTCTTATAGGGGGCTGGGTGAGAAAGAAACATGGGAACTCTGAGTACAGAGCTGTTAGTCACAGTGACAAACCCAGCAGCGAGGCAGAGCAGCAGAAGAGGCGATAGCTTGAGAAACCCTCATTAAGGAGTTGTCTGTCTTCACAGGGTCCCTCCCATTTCTCTACCGGTTCTGGTTTGGGTCCTTGTTGTTCCAGGCTTTTAGCAACACCTGGTCTCCTGGTTTAAACTGGGGAGGGGTGCTTCCAGCTGGGACAGGGACCTGAAAGAGGCAAACTCATGCATAGTGGTTAGTATTTGACTTATTTGTTTGACATAATTGCTTTAGTCTGTTTTTCTTGCCTTATGGTTATATTACCATACTTACCTCACGCTGCTAGGAACAGTCTCCCAGAAACTATTTCATAGGGGTTTAACTTAAGCCTGCTGCTAGAAGCTACCCTTATGCGAAGGAGGGCAAGCAGCAACAATTATCCCACTATAGATGGGTTTGGCACTGTCAGGTGTGTGTCTTGTACACTGTCATTAATGGCAGCGCCAGCTCTGGTAGCAGCTCCCTGGAGCCTGCCTCCTGGGCCAGGGGTGACGAGTTCCTCAGCTGCTGCTTCACCGACGGCTGCCTCACCACTGCCTGGCCACCACCCCCAGCCTGGCTCGTGGAGCACCATGCACAGCGGGTGCTGGGGGCCAAGGCAGTGGCCACAGGGGCCCAGACTGCTTTTGTCCATGTAGCTCGGTGGTGGTGCCACTCCTGTGTCAATTAAGAAGTCCACTAATCAAGTCCCTACTGTCAGTGGTACCTGGGGCTCCTGGGGGGATATTTGGATTGGAGCCACCAATGACGCATGGAGCCCTGGGCCCCACATTCGGCATCTGAGTCCTGGACTTGAAAAACTACTTGCTCTCCTAGGGGTTTCTTGTAACCTGTTGCCCTTTGCAATTTCAGGCAGTATTCTTCCCAACATCCTTCCTCTTTACAAAAAGCACACTGGTTGTGTTTCGACCTAGGGTAGCCTTTTCCACCCTTTCCTTCTGACTATCTCAAAGGTCCCTTGGTTGGCACAGGTAACGGGACACACACAGGTACAGTTTCTGTTCTTCTCTAGCTCTATGTACTTTAAAGGTGATATCAACAAGCTGCCAGGGATTTGTGCCAGTTGCCTCTTCCACACGCTCTAGTTTCCTCCTTGTATCTGGAGCACTCTGTCCCATAAAAGTCATGTTAACCATGTGCAAATTTTCAGGGGCCTCTGGATCCTCATCTGTATATTTTTGATATGCCTCATAGATGCATTCCAAAGATACAGAAGGATCTTCATGAGCTTTTTGTGAAGTCCCCTGTCGGGTATTGCCATAGTGCCAAGTGCCGGGCCCCGGCCACAGGTGCCCTCTGGCCACATTGAGCTCCCTGCCAGGTCTTGGAAGGAGAGACCTTTCCCACTCCTGAGTCATAACCCAGTGGGCAGGGGACTGACGAATGGGTTTCAGTCGCCCCCTCCCCAACAATGGGCCCCTCCACCAGCAGTGGCGGGTATAGGGGAGCTGACGGTGGGGAGCAGGTTCTGTGAGGTTTGGATTGAAAGGCTTCATGAGACCCAACCTGGTTAATCCCTTCTCAATTTTATCATCCAAGTCCTGCCTATCCTCACACACTGGTGAGGGAGGTTTCCTTTGTACCATTAACTTTGACCCAGGCCTTTCAGCCTCTTTTGTGTAATTCCATGAAAGATGGTACATATGGGATCTTGTCCCATTTACCTGACCTTTGAAATGTAATAATTCCAGTTGTAAGACAGTATAATAATTTAAGTTTCCATTCAATGGCCACTTCTCCTCACACTCCAGCATGTATGTTGACCAAGCAGTATTACTATAAAACACATTCTCTCTTTAGACGTAGGCTTATAGCTATAAGTTGACCATTCATCCAAGATTCTCCCCAAGACACTGTCAGACGGATTAGAAATGGAGCCTCTCATGCTGAAATAAAACTCACAAACAATAACAACAAACACAAGTTGACAAGTAGACACTACAGGGAATTCCTAACTCAAAGAATCTCAATGCCAAGTCCTACCAAACAAATGGGCACTGCACAAAAGAGAACCAAATTCCCCTAACCCCAAAGAGGATGAATCCGCAGGGTCCCTAGTTCTGCTCAGTGGTGACTTCCACCCCCATGGGGCTCACAGATGCCCTACATCAGGCCTGGAAGGTTCAGAACCTTCCCCAAATGGGTAGAGTCAAGGTTCTTGATGTGCAGACTGGGAAATTTACCAAAAGGGCCAAGGCATGGTGACTCTTCCCAAATCTGTTTCCTTTTCCTCAACAAGGTTCAGGTTGTGAGGAGTTGCATCTAATTTGGGTAGAGAGAGATGGAAGTTTCCCGGAGCTAAACAGCCTCCAGCAGCTGCTGGGGGGGGGGGGTCCCTCACTCTCTCACCCCAAAAAGATGAAGCTCCTCCTGGCAAAGACCCACGGCTTGGTCTGGGGCTGCTCCTTGCCTCTTCCAGCCCCGGCAGCAGTTGCAGGTGCTGTTCCACCAGGGCACCGACAGGCCCACCCAGGGACGCTAGATTTTATTACCAAAAGTTCAGTAGTTGTCCCCAAGGCTGAATTAGTGAGAATGAAGAATGAGGACAAGTGGTTTGAAGGAAAGGAAAGAAAAGGTTATTAATTTTCTGGCAAATAAGGAGGATGGCACACTCTCATATTAAAAACCACCATCCCCTCTTTAAGCAGAAATGCAGAGCTTTTAAAGGAGTTTTCAGCACTTGGGCATGGCTTCAGGCGATTATTGTTTAACTATAGTTGGAGGTTTTGGTCAGCATTATCTCAGGTAAAGACGATCTTATGACGTTTGTCGGGGTAGTTCTGTTGAGCCATCTCCTATGGTTTAAGAATCTAGAAAACAAAGAACAAGGAACATTTCTCTGCCACATTGATTACTGGCTTCAGGCAGGAATAAAGATTTTAATTGCCAAAAGGTTTGGGGGTTTTAAAGAGACAACTTGTAATACATTTGGCCCCTTTTCAGAACTTCTGTTACTCTCCTACCTTAACCCACCC